GGTTTCAGATTTGCAAGATAAAAAGTTCTGGAGGTTTGTTTCACAACAATGTGAATGTATTTAAACACTACTGAACTGTCCACTTAAAAATGGTTATGATAGTAAATTTTATGCTTTTTATCAGAATAACAGCTTTAAAATGTTAAAACCACTTTAAAAGAATGAACCTCGTTTACATTTTACAACAAACCTGCAAATATGATATAATTATGTCCATTTTTGTAGTTGAGGAAAAAAGCTGTGAAATGTTAGGAAAGTGTCCAAAGTGTAAGAGTGCAAGAGGCAGGAGAAGAGAAAGCCAGTAACTAGTCCTTGACTAACCAGTCCAACACTGCATAAGAGGATTTAGTGGCTTTTCAAAAAAAGTTAATTCCATAACAAACTCTTATATAATTACTAATATCACCATCTTTAAGAGAGAGGGACACTGAAGCTTAGAGAGGCAAAGGACTGGGACATGACCACATTCTGCGCAAGTCAAAGCCACAGGTGACTCCAAGCCCACATCCTGTCACCTTTTCCGCCACCATAAACCTGAAAGCCCACTGTTGTCTACCACGTTTACTGCAAGTACTGTATTCCCTGAATCCCCACTTGGCTACCTACTACCTATGTGATCATGGGCACTTTTTTTAACCTTCACTTGGTTTTCGTATCAGGTAAACAAAGTTAAAAGCAGCATTTATCTTCACAGTTGCTATGAGAATTAAAGACTGTAGATATAGGGCTTTGGGAGTACCCAGTACATAGTAAGGGCTCCATGTCATTATCAGTGCATCACTCTGCACCGCTGTGCTGTGCTGTGCAATGAACTGAGCATTAGGATTCCAAAATACCTGGGACAGAGTTCAGAGCCCAGGAGGAAACAAGCATGTGAGTCACAGCACCCACAGTTCCAGCTTCTGGTAGGTCTAAGAAACCTGCAACAAACCCTTTAAGGTGTAAGGTAGTTTAAGGCCTAACTTATTCACAGGTTTATTTGTAATACTGAAAAACTGGGAACTGCCTACATGTTCAACAGGAAGGAATGAGTGAATAAAGTTTGGAACATCAAAAGGAGTAACTATATAATTAAAACTAACTATGCATTAAAAAATGTGTTTGATGAAAAATATTCAATGACACTGGAAAATACTCATTCATGAAAAAAAGGAACATAGAATATTAAAAATGGAAGGCAACTCCCAGTCTTAAAATGCACAAATTTTCATGGTATATATTTTAAATAATAAAAAAGGGTATAGAAGGTTATGTGGACTATTATGTAGGAAAACATGTACATATGCACCTCCTCGAATATATGCAGAATGCCTCTAGGTCAGATAAGCCATCTGGAGAGAGAATTTGGTAGAAAGAATAGGTTTAAAGAGGGGAGGTTTATAATCCATTGTGTACTCATAATTTTGTACCATGTATGGTTTCTGTTCAAAGTAATAAATGAACATAAAAGGTAACTATTGTTAAAGACATGATATCTAGTACAGTCCCCAGTATTTTCCAAGTAAACAGTACTTTCTAAGGAACACATGGGTCAAGTAACACATCAAAAGAGAAATGTAAAAAATGTTTAGAACAGAATGACAATAAAAATAGAACATCAAAATATCTAGTATGAAGCTAAGAGTACTTAGCGGGGAATTTATAACTTTAGGTGCTTATATTTAAAAGTTAAAAACATGATAGTTTTACCTAAGAAATAAGTAAAACATGAGCAAATTAATCTCAAAGTCAGTAGAAGTAAAGACTGAATTAAGGAACAGTGCTGTACATGAGTGCATGGGGCAAAAGAAAAATGTGTAATACTGCCTCTCCATTTAAATTTTGGTATTGTGTTTATTGTGGATTTTTTACATTAATTTTTTTTAAAAAAAACACTGCATTAAACTATTACTTATCTTGATAATTGAGTTTTTGGAGCCCCTGACAAATGCCTCACCAGAGTCCTGACCCTGCCCATACTTGTCTTTTCCCACATCCCATTCTCTCCCTCTGGAGGTCCTCATCACCTCAACCCCAAAGCACCCCACACCCAGGGCACGTCACGGGGAGTTTTGAAACTAGAAACATTTTTACCCAAGGCATGTAAAATACAACCACTCAATTTTAAAAGTTCCCTTCAGAGAACAATAAAAATATTTAATGCTTCTTTTTCAAGGACCAGAACCACAGTCACTAAACTGTCAAATCATTATCCATTTTACTTGAAACAGTTGCAATGCATTTTTGTATACTAGACCAGCAAACTCCTAAATTTATAAATGCCTGAACTTTAATAAAGGAGGCAAATCCTAAAATAATAGCCTCTACCTTATCCACCTGGTTGGGTTGACCAGCACCTTGGAATAACTGAGGACCCAGACAATGGAGAAGGGTGATGATGGCTGCCATCCTCAGACCTATGTCACTCAGATTCGATCTCTGTTTCACTACTTTCTTCCAACTTCAAACCATCACGCAGTGGGGCCTGCATTCTGGTCACACTCTCAACACTGCTCTGAACTCCACAAAAATGCCCTCCAAGCTGCTAAACCAAAGGTTAAACCTCATCCTCATCTTTACTTTCAGCTACAGTTGGCAGAGTCAATCACACCCACCTCCCTGAAACACCTCTCCCTTCTCTCCAAAGAGGCCAGCGCCTCTGGCTTTCCTCACACCTACCTGTCTGTGCCTACGCTGCTCACTCTTCTCCTGACCACTTGATGACAGAGTGACTCAGGCTCAGGCCATCATTCTTCTCTAAGCTCACTCCTGCAGTGATCAGAGTGTCACTTGGCTTTCATTTCCACTTCCAGCTCAGACTTCTCTTCCAAGCTCCAAATTCCCACTTCCAACTGCCTCGGATCCTTACTAGACATCTCAAACTTTAAAATGCCTAAAAGTAAACTCATCTGCCCCTCTACACCACATGCCACCCACAGCCTTCCATCTCTCTATATGCCCAGGCCTAACCCTTACAGCCTTACAGTCAACTCTTCTCCTCTCTTTTCCTCACACCCCTCATCCAATTTGTCAGCAAATCTCATTGGTTCTACCTTCAAAATATATCCAGGATCCAACAATTTCCACCCCTCTAGAATAACCACCCCAGTCGGAGTCACCACAGCTGCTCACCTGGTTGGTTATGTGTAGGCCTCATCCACTGCACATTACATTAAGAAGAAAAATTCTGTGTAACCTCTGTTAATATCACCTCTCCATCAAACTGTTTTGTGCTCTACCAAAATGAACTATTTTTAAAAACTAAAGTTGCTATTATTATAAATTATACCTGATATTCTCCCTCTTGCTTGGATTTACTAAGAGAACTTATTTTGTGGTAAGCATTGAACAGTCCTTTGTTCAGCATTTAATGAAAACTACCTGTGGCTTAAGCAGAAAAGATGCAGAGATGAAATAAAATCTTTGCTCTCAAAGACTCTCAGAAACAGACTTACCCCCAAATACACAAAATGCACTATTGTACAAAGAAACACATACTATGGACTGGGAGGGGGAGTTAAACAAGGGAAGCAAATAGTTGGGCTGTGACCTGCCTCCACTCCGTAACACAATCACACCTAGCACAGCACATACACAGAGCAGGCTCCTCCCGCAGCCAATAAAGAGCAGGGGGAATTGGAAAAACAGGAGCCACACTTCCAGGCCTTGCTAGGAAATTGAAACTGCATGACATAATTTCCTTTCCCTAATACCTAATCTCTGTAGAAATAGAAGTGGGTTTGGGGGAGAAAGGAGAACAAAGGAGGAAAGTGAACGGACCCTCAGAAGGAAATGAAAAAACAATCCAGGGCCCTGCCCCTCGGACGTCTAAGACAAAGACACTGCCGTGGCAGTGGGTTCAATTCCCAGTCAAGGGCACATACTTCGGTTGTGGGTTCGATGCCGGCCCCAGTTGGGGAGCGTGCGGGAGGCAACCAATAGATGTGTCTCTGTCTCCTTCTCCTCCCTCCCTCCCACTCTCTCTAAAATCATTGGAAATAATATCCTTGGGTGAGGATTAAAAAAAAAAAGACACTGCCAAAGTCAAGTTCAACATAAATGATACATTATGGTGAATTCTGAGTCCATGAAGTCCAAGTTCATAAGGCTTTTACCACAGCAACATATTTGTAAAACAAAATGCTTACCCATGCCAACACCCCCCAAGAGATTTACGAATCTTCTATCAACTACCTGTCCTCAATTTACCACTAACCTACCTTCAGAAAGAGCAGTCTGAAATCAGACAAATTAGGACAGAATCTTAATTCTACAACTTCCCACCTGTGAGCATAGAACAAGTTCCAAACTAACAAATTACAAATAATCCCATCTCTCTGGAGCTCAGTTTTCCTCTTGTTAAAATGGGAAAAACACCAATGGATAATCGTTGCTAACACGTATGAGTGCTGAGCACGTTACATGTGTCACAGCATCTTCACCACCAACAGGCAGGGAGGTCCCAGAATAACACTGTCTATCTGAGGGGAAAGCTGGGTTTGGGTAATCAGCAAAGGGTTCATAAGTGAAGCCCACATCTGCACCCCAGACCCATGAGAATGGGATATTAGTAAAGAGCACACATGCTGAATACACCCGGAGCGTGAATCCAAGTTTCACGGTTACTAACTTAGTAACTCTGAACCTCTCCACATTTTCGTTACGCAAGTGTGAAACGGGGAGAAGAGTCACCCTACTCCCAGGGTTGCTGTGAGGACCCGATTAGTAGTTGTGACTTAGAGTGTTTATCGCACACCGGGCACTATTCTAAAGCATGTGCTGTTATTGTTATTACTAGTAGTAGCAGTATTGTTACCATTGTTATCATGCTGCCCATCTCAAAAATACGCAATGTACACACAGAAGGCACTGCACAACTCACACTTCTTCCCTCACCACTCTGCAAATTCAATACCTTTGGTTTGTTTCTAGTGGGTGTCAAAGTCATCCAGGACAGGTGAAAGAAAAATCAAACAAAACAAAAAACCAACGCATAAGCATAACAAGAGAATTATACTCACAGTTCAGAAGGCTACAGCAGCTCTACGAAGACGTCAATGATGGTTTGCAGGAATATTCCTAGTTTCTCTTTCCTCTTTCCATAGCAGTCAAAGAGAATCTGACAAGAAAGACATGCATGTTAAGAGACCACCTTTACATCACTGCATTTTCAAAGGCCGGCTGTGCTCACCATCTCAGTCAGCTTCGTTACCAACCGTGCTCACTGTGTGGAATGAGGGGTGAAAATGTGATGTCAAGTTCCTGTCTTCAAACCTACATTCTAGTTTCAAAAAATGCATGTGAAATAACTGAAAACTATTGAAACATAATCACAAACTAATATGGCAACAGAATATACACATCTATTTTACCCCCTCCCACTAAAATTAACTAAAGAGATATTTTTTAAAATTTTAAAACAGGACAGGGAGAACTGAAAGGAACAAAATTTTGCAAGCTGTGAGGAAAGCTTAGTTCTAATGAAAGATAGAGACCAAAACAAACAGAAAAAAAGAAGAAGTAAAAACATGGAGGAAACAACAACTATAAAAAGACTGGAAGCATAGTATATGATTCCATGGGCCAAAAAAGGCAGACCCTAAGCCAACAAGGAATCTCTGAGAACCTGCTGCAGTGACACAGCTGTGTCCCAGGAGGCTCACACTGGCAGCACTAATGCAGAGCTGGGGTGAAGGATGTTTGAGCTGCAGCAAGAACTCAACACCATGCCTCCATGTGACTGTCACTCAAGACAGAAGGCTGGAGGGTATTCCCTGGAAAAAGCAGTGTCTGAACTGAAGTCACCCTGCCCAGCTGTACAAAACAGGGGTGAACCTAATCATGGTACACACACTGAACAGTGAACTCTCCAGGTCCCCTATGCTAACCCAGCCCCATCCTCCCGCCCACACACTCAGCTGCCAGAATTCTGCAGAAAAGATACTGGAAGAATATTCTTAGGGAATCTGATCAGTCCAAGAAGAAAAACCTAAAGATACCAACATTGGGGATTCCCAAAAAATGGCCCACCCCAAATATCCTGAGGTCAAGGCATAAGGCCCCATCCATGTGAGAAGGGAGCAAGAAGGAGATAGGAAGGAGGAGAGGAAGGAGGGAGAGGAGGGAAGAAGAGAGAAGAAAGGAAGTAGAAACAGAAACCATACAAACTATCAATCATGGTTTCAATTATGCATGGTCTCCAACATTTTACCTCCTAAGCATCCTATCCCAGAAAGCCACTACAGAAAGTGTCCACCCAAATGTAAGTATAGACAAATATGAGGAAGACATGGGGTATAGAAAACATGAGTTCCAATGGAGAAGAGCTAAGGACAGAGAATCCCCAGGATGAGGGTGAGGGAGGTTCCGGAACGACAGCTGTGCACCAGGAGCAAGAATGAGGTCCAGCAGGAGCAGTCCAGTCCAGAGAAGGGGTGCAGAGGCTGTCTTCACCTTGCCCAAAGGCACCGCACCATCTTTTTACGGTGATTAACCTCTAGATGATGTACTCTAACAAAACAAAGAAGTCAGCCAAGAAAGACAAAGAAGAGATAACATAAACAAGAAACCCAACTCTGAAGAAAAGCCAAAGGATGAGAGCAAAAGACTGTCCGGGAGACAACAGAGTGAAGGGCATAAGGAGCAACCAGCTCAGAAAAGAACAGAGACCTCCACAAAATTGTCTCCCAGAAATAGAACGCAAAAAATAAATGCATCTATGCGACTGACTTAATGGGAAGCTGACTAATAGACTATCAGAAAGTATGGAGAAATAAGCAATAGGTGTAAAAAGAACTAAGAAATGGGGGACTGAGGGGTTACAGAAAGATGGGGATCCCTCCTACCACCCTGTGCAGATCCCTATCATAGGCCCCACCCACACAGTAACCAGTGACTGGCTTCCTCTCCCTCACTGGCTGGAGAGGGCCCTGTCTCACCCAGCTGTCACTTTCAGAACCCAGTAGGATGCCTGCTACAAGACTACACACAAAAGCAAAGGTTTTCTTCCACTTATTCATATCCTGAGTACCCACTATACATACTGGCATTCTTCTAGGGAACCAGAATTCAAGGACATACAGGCCTTGCTTGCCCTTAAAGAGTTTAAGCTATTTATACTCCTGAGAAAACAAATATTTATCCTATATCCTCACTCTCTCCAAAAGATAAAATGTTCACCAATGGTCTACTGAGTATTATTAATCCATCTATCATTAGTGGATACAGAGCCCACGACCTGAGGATGCTTTTCTGAGATTATACGCATTATGCAGTATGAAGAGCACCAGGCTGGGCACTAAGAAACCTGGCTTCTAGTACTTTAGAATTGTTACTTTTGAAGAAAAGAAAATCCAAATTCCTCAATATGCTCTGTCAGGCCCTTATTGACCAAACCCAGTCTGACTGGCCAGCCCCACTTCTTGCACCATTGTCTCCTGTGAATTCACCTATTTTCAGTTTCCTCCCCTTGGGCCTTCCTCCTCAGCGCCCCTCCCTCCAGGTTAGATGCCTCTCTTCTGCATTCCCACAGCATTCCTGCCCTCACAGAGCCTGTTTGCAGCATGACTGACACATGCCATGCATTTGACGGGGACTGGAATACACAGTGGTAAGCAGGAGAGACACAGCCCTGCTCCAAAGGACTCATGTGGCATCCCTTCTTGTTTAACACACTTCCTAGAGCAGATGTTAAATCTGGCTGATCTGTTTCTTCCTCCACCCACACAGCAAGATTCCAGGGTCAATGACTGCCTCTTTCAGCTCTGCAACCTCAGGACCTACATACCAGATAAATAATGTAGGCACTATTAAGTACAACTATAGTGAAATAAAGAAAAACTAAAAGCTCCAGTTGGTTGCAGTAGGTAGGTAACACTTGCTGCTCAGCTGACCTTTGACTTTTTTTTTTTTTGCCTCTTTCCTGTTGGAAGTATAAACCCCAAAACGTCATTCACTGAAATCTTGCAAATCTCTGGAACTGGCTTTCTTCTTCCTGCTAAGTGTCAAGGCAGAACATCCCAGTTTCTCCCCAGGTCTGCTCTTGTTCATCACTACATCCAACAGTATGCACTGTTTCAAACATCTAGGGCCTACGATCAACATACATGGACTTGATGCATGGGTGACTTACTAGTGAATGAATGGATGGACACACTGGCTGTCGGTGTGTTTATTTTGTATCTTAAGGAGAACTCAAGCAAGTAACAACAACATTCCATTTTTTCAATTCTAGGCCTACCTCTTCTTGCTACTTTAGCAGCAGGCAATGAATGCTGCATTCGACATTATTTATCCCATGACAATCTATTAAGAATATGAATCTACATATTTTAATTATGAAATTAATAAAATATAAGCATAAACATTTGAACTAGGACAGAAAGCTTAAACATTCAAACAGGACAGAAAGCTGGTATTTCCCAAACTGTATAATTAAAATGTTTAAATTCTTTTATTCCAAATGGAAAAAGAAAAATTAAACTTGGCTCATTATACAATGAAATATATTGCCAGCTCCCTGAAGCTATTTGTAAGCTGGATGCTCTACCTCTTTGGCATAAATGGGTGCATTTTAAGATGGGTCTAAGTAGAGGCTTGAGCTGTTTGGAACTCTTTCCCTTCCTAACAGGCCAACTAAAACTTCCCGCCAGCCACACACCCTGAATCTGTGTGTAATTAACAGGCGCAATATTTCCTTTCATCACCTGCTTGCAATGTTCTCATTTCAATGCACAATCCCACTCAGTCCATTTTCTATCACCCACCTCTAAGTCCGAATAACAACCCCAATCATAGGGATGATGGTGGCTCACGTTGTGGGAAGGTCTGGTATGTTATGCATTCTCCTAAGTGCTTCACAAGCACTAGTTCCTTAATCCTCATAGCGCTAAGTGGTTACAATTACCATTCCCATTTCACATATAAGGAAACAAAATCTTAAAGAAATTAAGAAAATTTCCAAAGTCACACAGCAAACAAGGGAGAGATCAGGGTTTCAAACACCAGCTAATCAGCACTCTTGAAACCATGATGCTCTTCCAGCTTCCCCAATTAACCAGGTAATATTGTTAAAACAATGAATATGACCTGGGCTTTTCAAAGCAAGCATGACAGAAAAACTCTTCCTAAAGCTGAGTAACATTCCATATGGCATACTGACAACATGTAAGACATCTGGCTGGAATTAAGCAGGTAGGCTGAGACCCTGAAAAAGAAATGGTCTGTTGGATGCTATCTGCTAAATAAGGCCCAAACTCACCATTTCTTAACCCAGAACATCCTAACAATTTATTTGTGAAGGTTTCCAATGTCGAAAAAATACAACCACTTCATGTAGGTATCCCTTCCCATAAACTGAGTCTACCAATAGTTTCTGCACTTAGGCCAGCTGCAACCTGTATTCTGAAAGAGCACAGGTCAGAAGTAACTTTCTGAAAGTTACTTAACCAAAAATATATGAAAAATGTAAATATGATTATGAAAATCATGTGGGCCAACAAAAGTTTCATGTTTCAAAATAATTTTCTAGCCAAAAATATTCTAATACGAGACCATGGAGCTGCAGACAGGTGGGGAGACTGGGCCAGTGCTTGGTACAGGGCTGGGATTCCACTGGTACTAAACTACTGACTAAATTTTGAAAAACCAGTATTAACAACAATAATACACTTACTCAGCATAGGAAGGGCCAGGAAAGCCTTAATTCCTGTGGGAAGAGAAAATCAAGATAAGCCAATACTGAGATGAGACAAATGTTAGCATTAGCCCACAAACAATCCTAGAAAGAAACATACACCCAATATACTATACTCAGTACCATTACACAGAAACTTCTCTCTCCAAGATTACCAATATGCTCCAGACTACTCGAGCCAATGGCCATGCTCTGGTCTCACTTGACCCTTCAGCAGCAACTGCTGAGAGCTGGTCCTTGATCCCTTCTCTTGGTTTTCAGGATGCCATCTCTGGTTTTCTTCCTACCTCACGGGTGCTTCTCTTCTTCTCTCAAACCAATTCATTCTGGAGTCCCCAAGGCCCATCCTTTCTCTTCTTGGCTATGTTTACCTCCCAGGCAAGCTCACTTTAAATGCTGTCTCTGTGCTAACAACTTTAAAACTACACTTCTAGGACATACAAGTGGCCAAGAGACATATGAGAAAATGCTCAATTTCGCTAGTCATCAGAGAGATGCAAATTAAAACCACAATGAGGTATCACTTCACACCTGTAAGAACGGTTCCATCAACAAATCAGCAAATGACTTGTGCTGGCGAGGGTATGGAGAAAGGGGAACCTTGGTGCAATGCCAGTGGGAATGCAGACTGGTGCAGCCACTGTGGAAAACAGTAAGGAGGTTCCTCAAAAAATTAAAAATGGAGCTTCCTTTTGACCCAGTGATCCCACTTCTAGGAATATATCCTAAGAATCCTGCAACACTAATCAGAAAGAATATATGCACCCCTATGTTCATA